AAAATGTTGGAGGGGCTATGAAAAAATAGGTATGTTGATGCACCACGGACCTGTGAATGCATACAACCATTTTGAAGAGCAATTTGGAATTAGACACAGAAAATGTTACTAAATAGTTAAGGCCCTTTAACCCAGATAACCCTTAGAATTCTGAGAGGTAAAGTAGCCTTGCCTTGGGGACCCTACCTGCCAAAGGGAAGATTTGAAAAGTAGCTCCAGAGCCCGTGCTACACAATTGTTAGGACACCCTAGCTTAGGATTTCTATTCTTTCTTCCTTTCTGATTTCTTTGTTATCTGACAATCCTTAGATGCCATAGTGATTACCATGTCTTAATGACATGCTGCAGCAATGAGGACCCAATTTTTTTCAAGCTAGCTTTCCTGAAGACTTCAAATCAGTGGAATGTAAGGGGGAAATTGAAGTTAAGTATGAAAACTGTGTTTCTCTATGCCTCCAGAAAATACAGGCCCACATTTGTTTTTCTGTGGCATTCAGTACAGGGGCTTATGATAAGCATGTTGATAATTATTACAATGCTATCATGTGGCTCTAATAATAATGAAGCAACGTGATACTGGAATGATACAAGGTTTAGAAAAAGAAGTCCTGGGTTCACATATACATGCCATCCACTTCTATTGTAACCTTGGGCAAATCAATTAACCTCTCTAATCCTCAGTTTTTTTACATTTGTAAAACAAAGAAGTTGGCCTTAATGACTTCTGAGGACTCTTGTAGTTCTAAATCTATGATCCTATGGATGAAATTTGGTCGACATCAGTTATTAACCTTCAAACTATTTGTGGGTCTTTTCAAAGGATCTGGAACATGGTAATATTCTTACCCTAAATTAATCCTGCACTACAAAATATACTTTGATCACGTCGAATATACTCTTTGTTCTATTCTTCCTAAACTCACCTTTCTCATCCATTCACACAACATTTACAACACTGGTTAGACAACTGGTCACTGTATTTATTTATGTTTTGTTGTTGCTTTGGTTTTTTGGGAGTCAATCAGGGTCAAGTGACTTGCCCAGAGTCACACAGCTAGTAAGTGTTTAAGGTACTCCTGACTCCAGGGCCAGTGCTCTATCCACTGTACCACTCAGCTGCCCCTGTTTATTTATGTTTTGAAAAAAAATGCCAGAGAAAGATCTGTCCTATGCCCAAATATTTAGAGTAGCATGAGGGGTAAGGGGGGAAGATGGGGAAAAAAAACTAGAAAAAGTAGATCCTGTAACCTGGGAAATGGCTGGACAAATTGTGGTATGTAAACATAATGGAATATTAATAATGTTCAGTAAGACATAATGAACATGAGGAATTCAGAAAACCACTAGAAATGTGTATGAATTGATAAGAGAGTGAAATAAGCAAAACCGGGGGGCAAAAAAGCATTACACAAAGCAGAGTGCTGGCCCTCAAGTAAGAGTACCTGGGTTCTAATGTTACCTCTGACATCATCTGGGGCAAATCTTCTCTAGGCCTCAGTTTTCTCAAGAGTAAAATGAAAGGATTGATTGTAGTAGATGACTCAGGTCCCTTTCAGCCCTAAACGTATTATCTTTTGATCCTATACACAATGGCTTTTCAAACCAGATCAATGATTCCACTGGGACTTTCTAGTGAACAAATTCTCTCTTCTAAAGTCTTAGAGAATTGTCAGCAGCACAGAAAATTTAAGTGACTTACTTAGAGTCACTTGGTCAATATGGATTGAACCCAGGTCTTCCTGACTTTAAAGCTGGCTCTTTATCCACTGTACCATGGTCCCTCTGATATCTAATAGCTACGATAATGTAGAAAGATAACTCTGAAACAGAATTGAACTGTCAGTGATTACAAATATTAATCTTGGTTCTAGAGAACAGATAATAGAACACACTCTTCTTTTGGTAAAGTATAGGTGATGGCTGGTGTAGAATATGGATATAGAATGTCAGATGGTCACGATTTCACTTGTTTTTGCTTATTTTTTTGTTTGCTTGTTTGTTAGAGGGTATTCATTTGATGGATGGATAGGATACATGCAGAAATGGCTGTGAAATAGAAACAAAGACATCAAGAGAACATTGGTGCTCTCAAAATTTAGGTAGGCTGTAGGAAAGAGTTTTACTATGTTTATTCTTTTTGTGATGCTTATATCAAAAGTAAGATCTGGCTGTGATGTCTCTGATGTTTGACTACTTTTCTTTACATATTCATTTCTTCTTAAATTTTACAGATTCAAGAAAATGGCCTTGAATCAGCCACATGAAAGGCAACAGTGACACCTGATGTTCATTTGTTTTGTACTCTCAGTACATTTCCTTCTTCAGTCAGTTTAATGGAATACAAAATTTGAATATCAGATAACATACAAAGATTTACTAGAGGAGCTTAACTTCTCTAAAAAAAAACAGTATCAAAGAACAGTCCCTAAATGGATTAAAACACCTTCTTACTCATTTTCATTTGGTTAATTATTTTTACCTAAGAACCAAAAGACTAGATTATAGCTTTTAAAACAAAGAAAAAGACCCTGAAGTTACTTAGGATTTAGCTGATGTTGCAGCTCAGTCTGCCTGTCTGTCTGTCTGTCTGTCTGTCTGTCTGTCTGTCTGTCTATCTATCTATCTATCTGTCTCTCTGTCTGTCTATCTGTGTATCTATCTTCATTGTCATCATCATCATCATCATTGCAACCATTTATCCTCTCTCCTTCCCACTGCCCTCTCCAACTGAAAAAGTATTTAAAAAAATGAAGAGATGTTAGCTTACTACTGCTTTCCTGAACCTTTTTGGTCCATTATGAACTCTGTTTCCACCTGTAACTCAATCCAGTCTTTGTTGCTCAACTGCCTAAACTGTCTTCCCTTCTATGACAAGCTGTGGTGTGAACAGCGTTAACTAAGGCCCTTACCGGGTAAGGTGGGCTATATATATATTTTTTTGCTTAGGCAATGGGGTTAAGTGACTTGCCCAGGGTCACACAGCTAGTAAGTGTTATGTGTCTGAAGTCGGATTTGAACTCAGGTCCTCCTGAATCCAAAGCCAGTGCTCTATCCACTGCACCACCTAGCTGCCCCAAAATGTTTTATCTTCTTTTTTTTTTTTTAGGCAATTGGGATTAAGTGACTTGCCCAGGGTCGCACAGCTAGTAAGTGTCAAGTGTTTAGTCTGAGGCTGGATTTGAACTCAGGTCCTCCTGACTTGAGGGCCAGTGCTCTATCTGCTGTGCCACCTAGCTGCCCCTATTTTTTTTCCATAAAAAGCACTGATGTTGTCCACACATTGGTGTGACCTGGGAACTAAGGCTCAGGCTGTTGCTGTAGCTTCTTAGTCACCTAAGCACAAAAAGCCAATACCACCAGGAGGTGTTGGCATTAGACATGCTCCCAACAGGTGAGCCACGAGGACAAATGCAAAGAAAAGGGAACTTAATCCAGCTGACTCTCTGCTATATCCTTGCTAAAAATTCTTTTAATGTCATTTTTTAATCAACGAAATTTTTACATGACTTCTGCAACATGTTTTTAATTGCCAAAAAGTTCTAGCACCAACACTTAGCACCACCTTGTTATTTTCCTCCTTTGGAAGTGGCATTAATCCAGAAAACATAAATAACATAGGAAAGACCTCAGTATTTGACAAAAACTGATGAGAAAACTGGAAAGCAGTCTTGAATAAATTGGGCTTAGACCAACATCATACACTATGTTCTACAATAAATTCAAATGGATATGTGACCTTAATATTAAAAATCATACCATAAAAAAATTAGAAGATAACCAAATCATAATATCTTTCCCATCTATGAGGTGGAGATATGGTCTCAACCAAACAAGGAATAGAGGAAATTACAAAATATGAAATTGATAACTTTGATTACATGAAACTGAAAAGTATTCGCACAAACAAAATTAATACTTCTAGAATAAAAATGAAATCAATTAAATGGAGGAAAAAATTTGCATCAAAATGCTCTAGTAAGAGTTTGTTTTCTAAGATTGCATAGTCAATTATCAGACAGTTAACTAGTTAGGTAGATTAGGGTGTCCCAAAAGTCTTAGCACAATTTAGCAAAATCAATTCCCCAGTAATAAAGTGGTAAAATGATATGAACAGTTGCCAAAATAATTATCAACTAGTAACAACCATATGAAAGAATGTTCCAAATAATGAGATAATAAGATAAAACCAAATCAATACAACTTCAACGATGAAAGATGGGAATATGCAACATTAGAGGTATTATAGGAAAATAGACACACTGATACACTGCTTATGGAGTTATAAATCAGTATAACTGTTTTAGGGAAAATATTTTGGAATTATGCAAATAAAGTGACTAAAATGTCCATACTCTCTGATCCAGAGATTCTGTTACTAGGCTTATATCCAAAGGAGGTAATTAATAAGGAAAAAGTCCTCATGTACAATAAAAATACTCATAGCAGCAATTTTTTTGTGGTAGCAGGACAAAGCCAACATGGTAGAGTAGCAGGAAGCAATAAAGCTATGCTCCCACCCATAAAACTTTTTCACACCTAGAAAATGCACCTGGTTGGATCCAGATAGGGAAATCCAGAAAAAAATCACAATTTGTCCAGCCAGCTTGGTAAGAAGGCCAATGAAATTCGTTGTTTTTTGTTTGTTTGTTTTTTAAATGAGGCAATCAGGGTTAAGTGACTTGCCCAGAGTGACATAGCTAGTAGGTGTCAAGTGTCTGAGGCGGGATTTGAACTCAGATCCTCCTGACTCCAAGGCCAGAGCTCTATCTACTGCACCACCTAGCTACCCCCCATGCAATTCATTTTTAAAATAGTAACAATTCAAATCACTTTTATAATGCACTGAAGGCTATTTATGAGCCAAAGACCTATTTCTCAAGTACTCAGTACAGATGGAGCCACAATGATTAGTGATAAGCACATGATCTTGGAGAGATCAGCTGAACTCTTCCATAATGTTCTCAACAGATCATCATCAATCAATGCCACTGAGTATATACCTCGGGTTCCAATGGCTGTGAATGCAGCTGAAGCAGGTCCTGTGAAGTACTTAGAGCTTGATCATACAACAAAGATGCCAAAGTCATCCACTGCACCCTGAGCCATCACCAGTCATCCTGACTTTTTGTCTTGCTATTGGACTTCGATGAATCTAGAAGAAATAGTGAGACAGACAACTTTGCTCAACTTTGCCTCATTTAAATCCAATTCACTGAAAGCTAAGACATCCTATGATGTCATTGATTCTCTTCAAAAACAAAGGACAAAAAACCTGTGCTATAAAAAATTTCAATTTGATCTTGATTTTTTTCTCAATTTTTATATTTCTATTTTTAATTTGAATTTATTTTCTTTTACAATTTAATGTTTAAAGTTGAATTTAGTCCAATATTGGCCATTTTAAAGGGAATTATTGAATACTACATTTAATTTTAATTTTGCATTTCACAATATTTCCCCTCAATTTTGATGTGCAATTTCCTTTTGAAGTACAATTTTATTTCTTATATTTTATTTTCTTAAACTTTATTTTTTTCTCTCTTACTGAAGTTGTCATTGGATTTTTTTCTTTGAATTATCTATTTTAAAGATAATTATTTTGTTTTTCCTTTTATTTCCATTGCTTTTCATTTTTCATCTCTGATCAGCTTCTATTGTGTTGAACACATGTGCTGCTCTATTGCATATGAATATTAATGTTTGCTGTTTGATGGTCCCAAAATAAATGCTGTTATATAATTGCATATTGGAGTACAAGTGGAATGCCATTGTTGTATATTTATTTATTTGCATGTTTCCCTTGCCGATAAATATATACATATATATAGTCATAAATTCCCATTATGTTATAAATTATAAAATCCTATTATAAATTAATGAATTGATACATGTTCATTGACTATTAACTTACTGGTTGGGGTGTCAGCCAACTTGTCCAGTCAGTTGCTTAATTGTTCTTTGAGGATTGCTTAAATATTTGCATTATAGATAGATGTTATGTAAGTATAAGAGTGGCTTGGAAATTACGATCATCTTATGAATGTTAATATTTATAAAGGATTATTGATGTTTGAGGGTTAGACTCTGTGTTTAAGAATGAGGATGTTATAAAAGTTTTGAAGGACAATATAAAAGAGTTGGGGAACAATAGGATAGTATATAATAGAAATAGGGCCAGGGTAATCCACTTAGGAAGTTGTCTATGTACTTTCAGACCCATTTTCATCACTTAAAAATATCAGACAAAACACAGATGGAATTTGGAAACTGATCCACAATCCTCCAACCAAAGTGGAAGAATTCTATAATAAATGTGACATTGAATGAAGGTGAAGAAATAGTACAACAACTGAGGTTCAGGCTTAGAACTATACTTGGATTCTTACCTAGACATAAAACCAAAGCAATAATCTAGTTATCAGAATCAGACCTTTCAGTTCTAAATGATACTGATTCACAATCTTTGTGCCATTGATGAATGGTCTACCTATGCCCAAGCAACAAGTGAAGGCTTAGATTCCTCAAATCAGATGTGAGTGTGACATTGGGGGAAAAGCCCAAAGCTAGGCCCACTGTGGTAGTAGAAGAAATAGTTTACTAGTATCTCAGAGGAAGGCTCAAACACTGAGAGCCAGTTCCTTCATGTCACACAGATGAGCATCATCTGTACATCAAGCTGAGGGTTAGTTCTCCTAAGTCATACGGAACTACTTAATTGCATGTCATAGGAAAGCAAAATATCCTGGTTTATGCAGAAAAACCTGGCCTGAAGGCAGGTATAAGACTAGATATGTCACAGTAGAGAGACAACATTGGTCCAAATTAAAGGTATTCCTAAAGCTTTGGACTCACATGGATTACAGGACAAAGCATCTTCAGTCATGTTAGCCTTCCCTGACTGACAGTCTCTCCTAACTGAAGCAGCTAGGTAGTACAGTGAATAGAGTAATGGGCCTAGAGTCAGGAAGACCTGTAGGTCAAATCCAACCTTAGACACCTTTGTGACCTGGGCAAGTCGCTTAACTTCTGTCTACCTCAGTTTTCTCAACTGTCAAATGGGGATAATTATAGTACCTACTTCCCAGGGAAGGATCAAATGAGATTTTTTTAAAAATGCTTACATACAGCATCAGGAGGATTTCCTTCCACTCTTTCACTGACTTGATCAATTTGAAGAATTTCCTGATTAGCTTGATATGATTGTGGGAGGTTGACCTTTGTTTGGAGGCAGCCAAGGGAATTTCCAAGGGAAACATACTGAAGAGACACAAATAGCTTCTGACTGGTTTTCATTGATTGGGTTGTCACTGCCTAGGTTGTATCTCCCCATCACCCTACCTTGTATCCCCAACTCAAGATGACTGGTTGTCTGGGACAGACTCTTGTTATGGAAACCATTACTTTATACTATCCTAGATAAAGGAGAGCAATCGTTCAGTCAACTTTTCTTCTTTTTGCCTATTTTGACTTTTTCCAGTTTAGAATGACAGATCTACTTGCAACAGAAACTGCCAAGGGAAGTGATGGTGAGAAATCTTTCCTTCCAGGAACTGGAAATTGCTTCTTTAGGGCGGTAGCTCATGGGAGTTGCATAGGCTTGTATTTGGTCTAAGGGGAGAGATCCTTAGAGTAAGTTTTCCTACTCCAAAAGATGACAATAGCCATGGCATTGATAGATTTCCTGCAAAACAGGCATGTGGAAAAAGCAGACACATGGGTGCCTAGTGAGCTCTGAGAGAGTTCATGGACAATGCTCCTCAACTCCAACCTCCTGGGCAGAGAAGGTCAGATTTGGGGGTTTATGGACAGCAGTAACTCAGAATCTAGCATTCGAGTTATAAAAGTGAAATTTCCTGGGTAGTGCCAGCTTTGGGGTTTTGCTTTGTAGGTGATCCTAAGTTTGAAGCTTCCTAATTTCAAGTGTTCAGTATTAGACCATCTAGGTCAGTCAGACAGGTTTGTGCTAAGTGCTGAGAATACAAATACAAATCAAATTAGGAACAGTCCCGACTCTAACAGGGAAAGAAAGGGAGTATTCAAATAGTTCCTAAGCAGTATTCAGCCTTGAAAAATGAGGAGGATTTGGGGCAGCTAGGTAGTGCAGTGAATAAAGCACTGGCCCTGAAGTCAGGAGGACCTGAATTCAAATCTGGCCTTAGACCAAACACTTCACACTTACTAGCTGTGTGACCCTGGGCAAGTCACTTAACCCCAATTGCCTGGAAAAAAAAAACTTTAAAAAAAATGAAGAGGATTGCCTACATGGCCCTGACAGCTGAAGAACAGGAGATCTGGACTTTTACTACCCTTTTATATTATAATGAATTAATCAGACAATGTAGCACTTCACTGGGAAGGGGGCCTTGTTTGTTTAGCAGCTCTTAAAGTGTGTTTACTTTCCAGGAGGACCCCTAAACCACAGGGCAGTATTATAAGTCTTGGGGAAAACTATGATTCCTCGTGGAAAAGGACTCATGAAGGGCTGCCCTAACATCAGGATCAAGTTCAGCTGCTTTGCAAGGTGATTTTATGGGCTGAGCTTCATATGCATTCTGTATCTATTTGTAGGCTTCATGTATTCTGCATATTCTTGGGGGTAAAACAAAGTATGTCCTATGCCCAATTTGAGTTTATTAGCTCAGGTGTTTATATGCAAGTGATGATTGCATTAACCACATTTAAAAAAACTTAGACTCAAGCTATACTTAAGCTATATTTTGAGATTTTCTTGGCAATAAAACAAGAGAACTGACCTTCAGGATAGGATCCTGAGAACAGATACAGGCTGGGGAGGGGGACCCCTCCAGGCCATGGGTTACATTAATATTGACTCATATTTAACTAGTATTGCTACTCATCTCTGACAAGGCAGCATCCAGCTTGGCATTGGCCAAAATACAGATTAATGGATTGTTCCTCACCCAGCTGACTCATGTTCCTGCTTTTTTTATGATGTTTACCTGCCAGCAGAACAACCATATAGTTTAATGCTATATTTTAGCCAGCAAAAATATTACTGATCCACCCACTACTACCACTATTCCCTATTACCCCCATCAACTACCAAATACCCCAACAACCAAAAAAACCCTTCTTTCTTTATGCATTATAGTGATTTAAGGTACCTTGCATAATTAATACGTGCTATAACTTAATGCCGACTTTATAAAGTCACAAAGGCAGGCAGTGTGGTGTAGCAGAAAGACTGGAGTCAGGAGGACTAGTTTCCATTTTGTAATGGAAATGCATCTTCCATGACTAACTTTCTAAGTTACTGTGGTAACCTAACCCAGAGGTGGGGAATCTGAGGCCTCGAGGCCACATGTGGCCCTGTAGGTCCTCAAGAGCAGCCCTTTGACTGAATCCAAACTTCACAAAACAAATCCTTTTATTTATTTGATTTATTTTATCTAATTAATTTAATTTATTTATAATCTAATTAATTTACAATGCAGATTAATGAAAAGTAGATAGTACTAACACAAAATTAATTCCAACAAATGCCAAGATTTGATCACTTAATACATCAAAGAAGCAATAAGTATTTAAATGCCTGAGATTTGCCAGGCATAAAAAGATAAATATAGAACAGTCCCTGCTCCCAAGAAGCTTACATTCTATTGGGGAAGACAACATGTACACAGACAAGTATCTACAAAATAAAATACAAGGCAATTTGAGAGGAAAGGTGATTGATGGGGAGACATAACCAGAATTAGAGAGTATGGGCAGGATGCTGGGGAAAAGGAGAGGAGAGAAAGTCATAGTTAAAAGCTAGACAGGGAAAGACCTGGACTGATGTTTAGAATGAAATATTGAATATCATAGGAAAAATACTAGGTGGGGTGGCATAAGACCTGGGTGTATTCTAATTGTCTTAGTGATTAATTTTTGTCTTTGGATGTGTCTTTTAACCTCTCTAAATCATATGATTATTTCAGTTATAAAAGGATAACAAGAATTTAGTAAAAACCTCTCTAAGTCATCTCCCAATAATTTTGTGATAATTCAGCAGTACAACATTATGAAATTTCCAAGTTGGGAAGGACCTTAGGGACCATTTATTTCTTTTTTTTTTATTGTTTTTTTCTTTTTTAGGCAATTGGGGTTAAGTGACTTGCCCAGGGTCACACAACTAGTAAGTGTTATGTG